AATTATGGTAAAAGCCCAAGCATGACTAAACAAAAAATATCCCAATAAATTAACTAGAAAAGTGGTTGAGGAATTATCTATAAGCCCCTACACAACAGACAGCCAAAATAAAAACTCCTTTAAAATAAAATTGGCTGGTTCCCTAACCATAAGCGATTTTGTCATTCTAAAAAAATTGTATCTTTACGATAACGAACTTGCTGAATTAATCATTAATAACTGCCCCGAAATTGAGTTGATTAACTGTGCTGCCAACTCACTTACTGACGTGGGTTTTTTGACTACCCTCTACCCCGAAAAATTGACCAATCTTCACTTGGAAAATAATAATATCTCAGAGCAAGATTTAAGTTGTTTTGCGAAATTTGTCAATCTAACTACGCTTTTAGTCGGCAATTCGGATAAAAACAAAATCGAACAAGGCATTTATAATCGATTTACTGGCAACCTAGAATGTTTAAAAAATTTAAGCAAGTTAGAAAGGTTAAGTATTCAAAATGCTGATATCGACCGGGGATTAGAATTTTTGCCTCGCTCAATCCAAGAATTTCATTGTTCGACCGATCAAAGAAAGGAAAGCGGAGTGAAAAAAATTGCGGAGGAATTACAACCTTTTCTCGTTAGTAGTTTTCACGGGACTTATGACTTTAAAAGTTGAAGAATGGGCGGAGGAGTTGGCTCGGCAAGTTGATTGAGGCCAGAACACATTTCACGATTTACTACTCCTAGTCCCACCTCTTCTAGCAAAGAAAAAATACTTCCCACCCAAAAATTACGGTCTGGGAAAATGATTTAGAAGCAGATAATTCGGGGTCGGAAAAAGAAACCGGATCGGTTATTCACCTAAATGAAATCGCCCAAGAGTCGCACCAATTACAACGAATAGAGATTAACCCTTACCAAAAGTAAAATTAATATAATGTATTAACATAGCAAATAGCAATATGACACAATCGCAAAAAAAAAAAAAAAAAAAACAAGTTATTGTAAGCGTTCTATTAATTGTCTTGATAGGAGGAGGAATAATTTTCTTTCTAATCCA